AAAAGTCTTCTCCCTGCGCTACACTAGGGACCTCCGCAAACTCCGCCTTTAGACAATCCGATTATGCACTTAGGCTCACAACAGCCCTGACTGCCTTTCTTTTCATCATTGAAAGGCAACACATTGGGAAACAGAAACTTTCATTTTTCTTAGCCCCCGCTATGAAATAATGCTACGAACTCAATGGAGATTCCACGATATGGTCAAAGGTCGAATACGGAGAAGGTTACTTAGTGGGAAGACAGGCGGATCCCCCCAAGGATGCGGACCCCCCTCTCAATTCGCAGCGAAGAGTGTAACCCCGGCGATCCATCATGACCCTCCACCCGATGCTATTGGCGAGATGCGCTTATCTCTCGCTATGTGGTCCTCTATCCGTTTGGCAGAGAGAGCGCTAGCGTTGAAGAGGACAAGATCGACGAGAATCGCATTAATCCGGAAACCTACGTTCTAGGAAGGGGTCCCATTACTTGGATTCTGGGCGGCTGGTTCTCATGGTTTTTTAATTTCTGCACCACTGACAACCTCTATCCTTTTTCTAATGAGCTGCGGATTTGGAAGAAGTTCATCTGAAACTCTGAAAATTGGCTAGCTAGTGTGCAAGCAGTAGGTAAGTAGCATTAGGTGCGCGTTCTTGCACCCATGCCATGGTGATGTCATTCAAAGGAGTGTAGTGAGGTTTTTTTAGGGTGATTTCGATTGCTGGCTGGCATCGCTTTACAAAAGCCGCTTTGTTCAATTGGGATAGATGTTTTACTACCGACGACCCCAGTCGAAATGACACCTGCTGAAAATCAGGTACCACCAGAAACCTACACTGATCCCACGAACAGCGATAAATCTGCTTTGAGGGGTGTGCTCGGTTATTCACGAAAGTTTGCATCCAACTCACGCACACTCCTGCATGCCTTCAGCGCTGTGCATCTGAGGCAGAACATCAGGAACGGTAGTAAAGTGCTCTAGACTGGCAATCAAATGTGGTGATTTACACCCATTGGCGAGGAATAGAGAACGTGGAAACATGGACATGACCCTAGTTGAAACCGCGAGCCCCGCCACCTGACCTGCAAAACTTGCAACCCTCTCGGAACTGAGCCCTGGATGGTAGGGCTCATAGGCTGGTCTTTTGCCACTGCACCAGGGATCACTCGACCACACCACTGGAAGAGATGTTGATGAAATGTATGTTGTGCAATGCAATGGCTGTTGTTTGCAAATATTAGACTCCAAGCGGTTCTAATCCAGCAGCTTTAACAGCGGCAGCGTGAAACGTCCCCATTGAGCCAATGGCAATTTGCCATAGGTGAGGTGGTGAGCATCCACCACGTTGCTTGCAAAAGTCGCGTCACACACGGGTTTGAACCTCCGGTGCACCGTCCAATGAGCGGCATCGCTAGCACTGCACTATGGAGCCCTGCTTATCGATGTTGAAAGAGTTGTTGAGAAAAGGCAATAATCCACAAAGATTGCAAAGAATTAAACATGTCGTAGTATTGATCCCGTGACCAATCCAACACCAACGTCGACCGCAGGCGCTACACCATTGACAAAACAATGGAAGGTGCTTCCCTTCCCCTTTTCAACATACTGCTTTGACCCACACAGCCTGGCTGTTTGGAGATCGCCATCTCTAAAAAGTCCTCCGCAGGACTTTTTAGAGACGAAGTGGCAGCATGTTTGCGCCCTCCACCGCGCGCGCACTATTTCCTTTTTCTCTGCCGCAATCGATGTTAGTTTATAGATGATCACCCTGCTAATCCTCTTACTAGCACGTGATTTCATCACCCCCACTTCTAAGTAAGTTCGAACTTACTTCGACCATTCCGACGGGGAATCTTCGGAGGGGTTCCAGAGGTGCTTTACGCATCTTTTAGGGAGACATGGATGGAAGCCATGACCAAGTTACCACGAGCTCATGGTCACATGGTAACTAGCAGTTGAGGCCACTTTACTACCGTCCCAGGGATCCGAGCTGGCGCTTCTATTCGCTTACCGGATCCGGTTCCTCAACAACAGCCGATGCAGAACTCAGGGTTGCAAATGTTTTTTGACAGCTAGTACAGACGTCATTCACTGGATACATGCTAGGATAGGCTTGTCCAGGCAGGATCCTGCGCTGGTATCATACAGCAGCCACAGCAACTGCTTTGTCCCGCTGTGATGGAAAACAGTTGCGAATGATTTTCATGGAACCTAGTCATGGTCATGGTGTTCGGGCATCACGAACCCAAGAATTCAAAAATCTGTAGGTGCATTGCATCCTACTTGCAATAATTAATATTTGTGGCCCTGAAGAACACCTGGATGTGCTTTATTTCTTCATTTATTATTTCTTCATTTTGTACTGATAGCTACTGTGGTAAAATTGTGCGGACATGCGAGCTCTCGAGAGAATACAGTGGAGATTTGGATGATAAAAGGAGGTGTATCCGGAGAGGACCTTACACTGAATAAAGGCGATGTAGGAGGATTGTTTAGCTGCTGCTCTCGGATGTTCTGAAGTGTGTTGAGTGACGGAATGGCCATCGTGTTCGTCACTGTTTTTTGTGGATATTGCTGACGTCAATCCAGCGTACGGCATCTTGACAACTTCAATGTCCAGTCTTGAAAGCATCTATTACAAAAAAGGCAACGTCGTCTTAGTTCCGGAACAACTGCCGTGGATTGCTCTAATGGAACACAGACCCCTTCGGAGAAAAATACCGTCATCAACACGTGCTATTCGCTTTGCGACAGCATTTTCACCATTTTTATTCATGCACGAAAACTCACACGCTTGCTTGAGCGGCCGAAATGATTCTGGCTACTCAACACAGATATTTATAACTAATAAATGCGAACATATCTATTGTGCAGGTTAAATAGAAAATCGAATACTCGAGGCCAAGGAAACTCCCTATCCTTCTTGCGTAGTGGAATCGTTCGTCGCATAAGGTGGACAAAGCTCTGAGTCATCATTTGCGCATCAGCTCGGCTCTCATAGACATGCATAGACGAGACAGCATTAAAGACGCTACAAAGGCTCCAAGTGGAAGTGGGAAACGGGGCGCATATTACAAAGTGATGAACGTTCAACTATTTTTTATTTTAGTGTTTTTATCAGACCAGCGACATGCGCACATAGAGTTTAAGGCACTGTCAGTGAGACTTTAAGTCATTGTACATTACGAATCTTAGATTGTAGATGAACTTAGTATGAGCAAGTTATCTGAGTTGGTTGTTTTTGAATGATTTGATGTATGTGTTTGTTACTCAACGCTGAGTCTTTGTTGAGTCAGGGGCAGTGATGAAGCAGGGGCTCAGGTCGTTCATGAAGCCCACAGCTTTCCTCCCACAGCGCTGACTGGGGCAAAGTATGTTTCCCATATGAAAGTATTGCGCTACCCGAAATGCTCCAGTGAAATCGATCAAATCTCCCGTTCTTCCGGGGCTGTACCAGTTGGGGTGTGGCTTGACCGCGCAATAAAACATTGACTTGAACATGTTTTGGTTTTTGAGGAGAAGGCAACATAAGGTGCAGGGGAACAACACGACTTGACAGAAGCCTTGCCGTAGGCTTCCAAAATTTATTAAGAGTTCAACATCAAATGTTCCAGCTCTACACTACACTATCTACAACGAGCCGCTTCATCTGCTTAGCGGAAAGCTTTTTCGCATTTCACTGAACAATAATTCGCATAGCAAGTGATCCCGTATGCAACGCATAATTGCTTGCGACAAGAGAGATTTCTGTATTTGATAAGAGAAACAGTTGAAACATGCTCCGCCTACATAGAAGAAAAAATGTATAAATTTTCACTCTTCATTTCAATTAGTTGCGTACGTGCTTCACCAAAAACATGAGCCAAGTGCTAACAGAGCAGTCGTGGCTGCAGGTGTCCTTTATGAGCATTCAGCTCGTATTAATGGCAATCCAATCTCGCTCAGTGCACATCGTAAATTCGCTTTTTAGAATGTTCAATTAAAATAATGGCATGGTTGACAAAAACTTATGCGCTGAGTGGGTTCCAGATTTAGAATTTGCGTAAGGAAGGGAAATATTTGGAATGAATGTCAGCAACACATGTGACTTCCTTTGAGCTTACGTCCTGTGAAAAACAGGAAGCACTTGCGAATTTCACATCGTTTCTAGATTCGCACCTTTCGCCATATATAATTCATCATGCATGGTTGATGGCCGTCTTGCGTTGGTCAGCTGGTCTATTTCCGTCGCAAATATGCCGTATTTGGGTTGACGTTTAAGCGGGAAACTACTTCTACCGCGATGACTCCTCCACATTCATCAACAAATTAATGTATTTTGTAGGTGTCAATTTGGTCAGTAAGTGCAGCGCTGGTCGAAAACTGCAAAAGTATCCGTCTTCTTTTGCCTGCTCGTCGACGACTCCCGGACTCGCGGAGGTGCACATAGAAACGAGCGTGCTGGTGCTGGATTGCGCTCACGCGGCGAGACGCAGAAATGTGGGCGGACCCCCTGGGGGCATTGCCTCGGACACTCGCACGAAAAGTCCTACGTCTTCTATCGTTGAAGGACAGAACTCGGTTTGGTTATCATTTCTCAGTATTCGTTGGTAAAACGTGCAGTACTCAGTCCCACCAGGTTTACTCGATTGTTCTCAATCGGACCTCTTACTTCACCCCAGTCCCCAATCATATCGAGAACGATTTGAGTTGCATCTCATAAAATGGGTTACCCGCTAATTCTCGAACTACTCCACCTTATTGAGGCTCTTTCCACTCCCTGCTGACTAGCTTAGTGGGCTGGAGAGCATTGGGACCCGTTGACGCCCGCCCCTTCTGGCTTAATTCCTAGTTCACAATTGTGCCTCCTGCACGTATTCCATAGAGTAGCTGTTTCGAAATGACTGATTTTCGCCGGCATGGAATCCCTCCAATTTACTCTTTGCAATTCCTGTTCAATTGCTGCATTTTCACTTGAATCTTTTTAGTTTTGCTGTTTCAGCTGTGAGCGTGTATCAAAGTTGTGGCGTACAGTCGCGATGGAGGCCACCAGATCAGAAACAAAACCCGTATGGGTTTATGTGATATTCCGGAAGAATCACTGCTCAGGTAAGATATGGTCTCTTTTGCCACGCTCCCGCTGCAAATGCTGTACTTTTTATTCAGGACACGAAAAGATGACAGTGAACATAAGTTTTGATGGACCAATTTTTTGGAATCGTCAAGTCGCTTACATCTACTGCTGCTCTTGTCATTTTGATGAGCATGAGGCTTGTGCAGTTTTTTGTTCGTTACATATTGTGTGATCTGTATGCGTTTCGACTTTGCTTATTTAAATGCATATTCTGGCACTTACTTAGTAGTCCCCAGTACGATGGCTCGTATAGTCCTCCAAGCCTACGCGGCGTTCTCTCCGTCCAAATAACCTTGTTTTGGCGGACAACGCTTCGACGCATCTTTCATAACGCTGTGGGACCACTGTAAACAAGCCTTGAACCAAGCACAAATCGTTTCCATACATCCAGAAAACAAGATTATTGCATATAAATGCGGAAATCTCTTCTTTTTTTTAAAACTAAATTTGTGTTCTTAATTGAAATTCAAGTAGTCGTTTTGCAATTTTCATTTGATCAACAACCCCCGCAGTGGGTTGGTCGTGCCTGCGCATGACATGGAAGAGCCCATAAATCCCCATAAAATGGGGAGAAACAGATTCCTAATAGCAAATGTCCGACATTTCAAGCTTAAGGGAGCACATGCGTTTGTGAAAAAGCTGGAGGGATAAATTTATAGATCTCTGGTAATGTAGCTAGAACATTGGTAATAATAGCATGTGAATCGAATATGGCATGGTCGCAATTACACGCACTCACACACACACGCACGACACATATGCACATGGGGCCATCACCCCGTTGTGAAGACTATCGGGCTCTCTCCGTCGGCGGCTAGTCATGGGCGCCTGAATCGGACATCGCATTTTGTCAATTATGAAGGCATCAAATCACTATGACCCACATGCACCCTAAGAACGACAATGGTCATCAGCTACTAGTGTTAGCATGTTGAAGGCTATTGCAGAATGCATCGCGAGCACGATCAATACGCTGGTGTTACTGCAACACTTTGTACAAGTAATCTGCTCCTACCATTTATACAATTGTTTTCCTTATCTTTTCCTTGTTAATTGATAATTACATTGCAACAGTGGTAGGTGACCCTATCTGAAATGCTCTAACTGGACCTACTGCCTTGTATTTTCCGTTTCAAATGGGAAAAACAGTACTTCTTTTCAAAACATCTAGTGGAACTTTGTGATTTCAATGTGATAGTTGTTAATAAAAATGCGAATGCAAAAAGTTAAGCATTTTTAAACGAGCAAATTAAGTACTTTAGAAACGAGAGACTTTATAAGTGCAGGAAAATGGGGTACTTCTTAATAGGTCTAGTTCATTAGACTTCTTCTACGTTCTTCTTCGTAATCCAATACATTTAAGACTGTAGGACGAATGGCGCTGTGACTGCATACGCATCACAGTTGCTCAGTTTATTTAAGATGAAACCAATCATGTCTTCAGATTTGCTTCTTGAGGTTGAAATTTTGCAAATATCGATCGGCGGAATACGGATACGTGAATCCATTCAAACGTCCCTACGATTCGATTTCGTAGTAGAAAACACGGCGCAACCCCTATAATCCCGACAGACTTCATGATGTTAATAATTTTTTAATGTCCTAATACATTAGCAGACGTATTTCATTGGTCCAGTGGATGGGAACTGTGTTTAATAGTTGGATATTTATGGACACCCAGCCGATCATATTACTTCAGTGATGCGTTGTCTAAAAATAGCTGTCCTTTTTTCGACATGGTTTACCTCATCGTTGGTGTGATCAGCCTTATCCTGCGTAACACTACGGGATGGTTCGACTGATAAGATTCTAAGGAGCAGTGTTTCCATCTAACCAGAAAGGGAGAATACTACATAGTTACGCACTTTGTGCGATGCTCTTAGTTTCTGCTTCCAAGTACCACACTGGAAGGAGCCCCCAGTCTCCATTTCCGCTGCGAATACGAAGGTCATTTAGAATACAGGATATCAAGGCTCTCGGATGCAACATATAGTGTTACACATTGTCGTAGTGACTGGGTCTCGGTCGCCTAGCTCTAGTCCAGATGTTAATTCCCGGTGGTGCAGTACCTCACAGATCACAAGCTTTTCTTTTTACAAATGTAGTGAATGTACAAAAAAAGTAGGAAGTTTTGTGTTACTTCTCCTATGAGTTTATGAGTTTCCACTGAATCTCTGTTGTTCTCTTGGCCACATACATAACAGATTCCCGCATTGGAGTCATTATTACACTGAACTGAGAGAGACACTGTTCCTCCAACTTATTGAGTTTAAACGTTCAGCGACCAGCAGCAGCGCAATCCGTGCCGCAGTGAATTTCCTGACGAAAAAAAGTGATTTTTGATGAATTGACTTCACACCAAAGAACAGCTCATGGGATTTTGCCATGGAAGAACGTGTACAGCTCGATGATTCATCAACCTCCTAGAGGGAAGCGTCCTCCATTTCGAAGTACATAGTCAAAGCGTCCGAAATTCGCTTTGCGGGATGAGAAACTGGGCGACAAAGGGTGTGATGCCCTCAAATAACACATCATAGTTGGAAGCTGCCGAGGAAAAAGCCGAATTGAATGCGATGAAGGCTATTTGAGAGATCGGTTGCTATTTCCGGAGCACTCAAATGCATCCCCATCGTCCAGCATATGCATATGTTGGATTGAATTACTGCTTACCGATTCGGCTCTTTCCCATTTTCTGATCCTGGGAATAGCCCACAATATGGCAGTGTACAGCATTTGACTTCATAAAGTAAAATAAAAGGGGCTGTCGGTTATTTTTACCGTATACCTAGTGATATATGCATGTATAAGAACAACGTTGAACTAACATAGCCACAACGTGTAGGGTGTAGGGTCAACCGTTCGTTGATTTTTCTTTTTTGAAACAAATGACCCTCCCTGTAGTGGCACTCAACCCACCCCCTCCAACGTTCGATGGTGCCCATAGTGTCGTTGAATCAGAGCCTTTTTAACACACACGGAACTCTGCCCCAAACATTGCAAAAGTCAGGGGGGATACGTAGCATAGATGTTGCATGGCAGCGGAGCTACTGGAAATTCACCGAATTTCGTTCAAACGTTTCCAAGCTTCCAAAAATCTGCTTTCCATATCTCCCCAAAAGTCGACCATTTTCCTCGAAATATGATCTCGCTCCCTAGAAACACCCTAGAAGCACAGAATCCGACCTCGGTAAACCTTTTCTGTGTCAAGTTTTCCAAGTTTTTCTGATACATATATGAAAAATACGGCTTCCTTCTTGAGTATTTCCACCTCATCGCTAGCATGTCTCATAGAATTGAAATTCTTCTCAAGCTTCCAATATGGTCAGCACATGTCAGCGTTTACGTCAAAGTTTTTTTTTCGCGTGAGTGACACGCTCAAAGGGCGAGTTGTGTCGTCATGTCCCTGGCGAGCTGTAGTCATTTCCTTCGAGCTACTGCTATCAACACATAGACCTATATGTTGAGACTAGTCACCTAGCGGTACACAACGCATTTGTTCCGAGAAAGACTCAACAACATGATGGCTATGACAGATATTCTCAAAAGGAATTGCTCTTCAGGGCCCACTCATGGCAATCCTGGGCAAGTTCGAGCAACGCGTTGAACGTATGTGTCTAGTGGATCGCCCCGTAGACTATCCATTTCTTCCTGATTCAATTTTCTCCTACATGGCCAAGTGTATGCCGAAACTGCAAGTAAGCTCTTCACGTAATTTTCGAGTAGGTAAAAAAACATAAACATTTTAGTTCATCTATCTTCGTGAACTGGACTTAGAGAAGATCAATCGCGCTACAGTGGTCGAGCTGGCAAATCACAGCACATTGAAAAAGGTTCAAGCAACTTTTTCTCTTCAACACTGCTATAATTATTTGAAAATGAACCAGTATCCCAGATATAATCACAGAGCTGACCATAGAAAGCTTAATTGTTAAATGTATGCATTGTAGGACTTGTCTAAGGCATAGCAAAAGCTATGGTGCGGACAAAGTCCTACGAAAGCAGAAGAATAATTCAAATAAACCGTGGGAAAGTGGTGATAGTTCGCTCGCTCGTATGTTTACGAACTGGAGCTCAGTAAACGGTCAACCTAATTTTAGGACTGCATTTACAAATAATCTTTGTCTTTAGTGATTTGGAGCTGATCATCTCGCCCAAATACTTCCTTATCGAAAAAAAAACCTTCAAAAAACCTTCTCCCTAGCAATATGTAGTCCCGCGCAGTCGCAGGGTCTTTTAGACGTCGCCACTTTACACTGTCCAGGGCATCTCCTAGCGTGGTCGTGACCTCACTTAGGTCCTTCTTGAAGACGTCTTTCCACCTTTTCTTTGGAGCTCTTCGCGGTCGCTTGCCTTGCACTTCGAAGACAATCGCTGTTCTTATCGAACAGTCCTGTGGCCTCTCAGCACATGCCCATACAATCGCAGGCGCTGTTCCAGTGCCTTCAGTTGGATAGGGGCAATCTGCAAGACCGCTCTGACATCTTCGTTTCCGACTCTGTCCAAACGCGTTCAGCCACAGGCCCATACCTGCATCCTCATTCTAGCGGATTGGATCTGCCTTTTGTGATCCCTGTTCATGGGCCAACACTCGATGACGTATGGCATAGCAAGCCTCAACTCTGTTTGGTACACCTTCCATTTAAGCGCTCCGGAGCATCTATGGTCGCCTAGGACTTCAGTGGACTCCCTCCATTTCATCCATGTAGCGTTGACCCGAGCCTTCACCGCCGATCCACTACCGTCGGCTGCCAGGTCACTCCCAAGATATCGGAAGTCCTCCTCTCTTTCGATGCTCTCTCCATGGCCGTCTACGATCGGCTCTGCATCCTCTTCGGAGCTCAGAAACTTGTTCTTCTTAACATTCAGCCAGAACCCGCCTTCTGCCAAGACTTTCTGCCATTTCTGCACCTTGGCTTGAAGCCTCTCTCTGCTATACGCTATCAAGGCGATGTCGTCAGCGTAGAGGATGGTCTTCAGTGGTCCCTCCATGAGCCCCTTCATCAGGACGCCTAGTGTCAGGAGGAAGAGGAAGGGGCTCAGAGTTGGTCCTTGGTGCACCCCAACCGTGATGCGTACATTCTTCGTTGGGCCATGAGTTGGGCGTATGGCTGCCTTAGCCTCATCAAACATGTCCTTCACCAGAGATCAGCCGTTCTGGCACTTTCCTTTCCCTGAGCGCCATCCACAGCACCGTTCGCGGTAGCCGGTCAAACCCCTTTTCCGGATCGAGGAAGGCTAGGTAACAGGGCCTGCGCTTTTGTCTACACTTTTCCATCACTTGCCGGACGATGAAGAGGCATCCATTGTCGACCTTTGGGGCATGAACCCAAACTGTTCCTGGGAGATCGGGACCAGCTCCCGCAATTTCGAGTCGACCAGTCGTTCTTGTATGCGCAGTCAATCTTATGCCGCGGTAGTCAGCGCAGCCCATCGCGTCACCTTTCTGCTTGAAGATGGGGACGGTAGTACTCGTTCTCTAGGCATCCGGCGTGCCTCCTTTGGCAGTTACCGTAATCAGGAAGCGGGTGAGCCACCTCACCTCGTGCTCTCCAAGCGCCTTCCAAGCCATTATAGGTAAACATCCGGACCAACTACCTTTCCTACCCTATCTTACCAAGTGCACACCAAACCTCATCCTCTTCCAAGAGTGCTATGGGACCAGCTCTGGCCTCTGCCCATGAGTTGTTCTTGTGGGTGAACTCCTCGTTCGACCTCTGAAGTACTCTTCCCACCTCCTCCGGACTTCGGCTAGCTTCCTAAGGATGGCGCCGTTGCTGCTCTTCACGCTCTTCATCATCCTGATATTCTGAGTAGCCCGATGCCGGGCTTTGACCAGTCTGAAGAAGAACTTCTCTGCGTTTCTGCTTTCCAACTCCTCGTATAAAGCGTCCATCTCCGTGTTCTTTGCCTTGGTTGCGGCAGCCTTAGCGAACCTCTAGTAACTCTTGGAGGTAGCGAGGTCTTTGAGGCTTTTATGCTCCCAGTCTCTTGCCAAGAAGCACCTTGATTTCCTTCACAGTTCTGAGGGATGATCTTTTTACGAGCAGATGGTCGATTTCCGTTTGTCGCCCTCCACTACTGTAGGTCACCTTCTGAGTCTCCCTTTCGCGAAGAACGTGCTGCAGAGCGCCAGATCGTGGGCCGTAGCCAGGTCCAGGACCCTCTCTCCCTCGGCGTTCCTCACTCCTATTCCTCTACCTCAGTGCACCCGTTCCAGGCCTCTTCTTTCGCTGTTTACGTGACCATTCAGATCACCTGCTATGGTGAGGTAGTCACCTTCCGGAATCGCTCTGAAGGCGTCGTCCAGGCTCAGATAGAACTCGTCCTTATCACTATCGGGGCACCCGGTTTGCGGTGTGTACACGGAGAGTATGGTACTGTACCCCTCCGTCGTGTCTGTCCTCTCAGCCATTATCTAATCGCTGATCCTGTTCACATTGGAGACATAGTCCTTGAGTGATTCCGCTACCGCTATGGCCACGCTGTTGCGCTTGGTGTTCTCCATGGTAGTAGAGTTTGGTACGTTCCCCAATTTCTCTGGCTTTAGCACCTTTCCATCGCGTCTCCAGCAGGCATAGGATTTGAATGTGTCGATCTGCAACCTCTCGGGAATTCCCAAATAGCATTTGGAGCCTTCACATGCTAACCGAAAGAACCCACGGGGGGGGTCCTCTGCGCCACTTTCGGGTGACGTCCTAGCTTTATCACTGGTTACTAATTCGACATTGGACATATTTGTTGCTAGGAGGGTTTGAATCGGCCGACCCGTCAACATGGGCCTGACACTGGCTCTGGAACCATTTTCAATTCTGCAGGGCATGGTTTGAAGCCTTGGCAGGGATCGAACTCGCGGTGTTTCAAAGGTGCAGACACGACTTTTTTGACTACTCGGCCATCTCTGCCTCTTTCGGAAAATCGCCCAGTTGCCCTAATCAAAACTGGCTAATTATAGTGAACTCACGGTTGTTCACGCTTTTCGTTAAATTTGTTAGTAGCCTAGTCAGCTGTGGCCTTCACCTTTAATAAAACTCAGCGCTGTTTGGCCAGTCATGCACGCCTTTGCCCTTTTAGACTCAGTCTAGAATTCAAAAAGAGCTGTAGGTCCACCTAATCATAGCGAAGATGAAAGTCGAAGTTCCACCGGCTAATGTTCGTACTCGAGGTCGACCATCATGTGCTTTAATGATAGTTCGTGGGCCTACGTGGGTCTATGGGCCTCTTACCCTATGTCCCTTAACTAATAAATTTGTGATGATTAAAGTTATGGGTCCGGTTTGGGTACCAAGTAGTAGCCCCTCTCAGAGGTAGAAAGATCTACAAGCGCAGGAGGTACGACACTGTAGCGGCTAAAAGTGCGACGCAACTGCGCTAAGGCCTAGCCTTGTGTGCTACCGTGTTGCCACCCTTATCAATCGCGCCATACGTGGTGTTTGCGCCCTCTCGCGTCACGACTTGCCCTCTCGTGTTTCCTCTCTCCTTGCGGCGCTGTGTCCCTTCGTCATACCAAGGCCGACGAGGGAACTTTCAGCGTTTTCTATTCCGCTTTTTGCTTTTCTCCCCTCTCACGTCTCTCACGCACTTCCTGTCTAGCTATCAAACAAAAAATACACCATCTCGATCCCACTCGTGTCTTCAGAGGCAAGATTGGTATAAAACAGGTGTACAAGAGCTTTCACTAATAAAGCTAGAGGTGGGGGTGGTCTGTAAAAGAAGAAGAAAGCAAGGGAAACCCTCGGGTGCGCCCCGAGTAATGACCACCTCTATTTCAGCCACATTACACCTTGGAATGGAGAAGGAGCGTTATGGACGGTTTCAAGAGCTCAGCTCTAGTTGCTCCAGTGCCAATGACATTAAATAGCTGGCGCACCTGCGCCCGTGCTTTTCATGCTGCGTCACGTGGCAACCTTTAACGGAAGGCGGGGCTTGCGAACGGTGGAGGGGTTACGGTTCGAGCGAGATTCTAGCGCCCTTGTCGCACACTTTTGAACCACAAGAGGCGCTACATCAGCGCTTGCACGCGCCCCTACTACGCTCAGGCAAGGAATAGGGGATGCGCCTAACGCTGGGTCGTACTCCTAAGCCAAATCCTCCCTAGAAAGGGTTGCTGTGTCCACAACTGCCCAGATAAGGTCACTTCCGTAACTAACCCCGCGTGTGCGACAACAACTTGCAACCTAACTCCTTGAGCAACCACGGACACGCACCGTCACGATGCATGCCGTTCGCTCCATGCTGTGCTGTCTCGTTTCCGTCTAGCGTTTCTTCCCTCAGCGACCAGTGCCTTTCAGATTGCTTGCCTCCTAGAGTCTGCTGCGCTAAGACTAAAGACGGTCCTTCCTCGTTTTTAGCAGTTTCTACTCCTTTCGCTTTTTTTGAGAAGTCAGTCTACACCTACCATTTGATATGTTGACTACGTATCTACAACATTTTCGATACCGCAGATGCTTCTCCTAAGTTAAATATATCTCGGCAACTATTGCGGCGCCTTCTGGGAGTGTTTTCTTAGTAACGCATAAGCCTGGCGTCTTTGAAATCTTCTTGAACAGGACACTGAACCCATCCTAGCAATCGAATGGACCCTGCTAATTGACCTGAAGTTGACTTGAGTTACATGATCTCAGTTATTCTGAACTTGCTTGATGCTTCAAATCACTGTTGAGTATCGTGAGAGAGCACTCCTCAGTGGAAAGGAAGGCAAAAAAGACAATTCTTGATGGCCAGTAATCAAACAGAAGACTGGCATGGCTTTCCAGCTTTGGCACTTTTCGGAAGCGTCACAAATTCTCTGAGCATACTTGCGGTACTTATCTTGGCTTACTCCTTGCTACTGGTAACTCCAGGTTTAGTCTTCCCGTCTTTTGAATAGCCTGCCCTTTTGAAATGAGGATTCAGCACCTTTTCATGCGCTCGTCTCCTCATAAGACTCAGGATA